TTTTTTTATTTTTAGTTTAATTTCACACGCTTAATTTCACATATAAAACATTCACAATTACTCCCTCTGATAACTCTGGTATTCAGGTCTAAACTTCTTAGCGTATGTTTAGTTACTATAGATGCCATAATAACGTAACTAAACTTTAACTAAAGTACATTATATATAAATGTGTATATTTTACCTTTACACGGTCGCATAGAATTCAGTTATTACAACTACTATTTCGTATTAACAATTAGTGACGACTAGCCTTTGCTTTCTTAATAACTTAATAGCAATAGTAATAACTAATAAGCAATAGTAGTTAGTAGCTAAAAGTAGAATTTCAGTGTACAATTTCACTTATGAAACTACCAGCTCGAGGTTATAATTTTTATTTGCAATTTTGTTGAGAAGATTCTCAAATCCCAAAACAGCCCCACCAGCCCTCACCCCTAGGGTATGGTTCCTTAAATAAAATTCAAATTTTTTTGTTTTGTTTTATTAAACTAGGTGGAAATCCATCAACAGATGTCAAATTTTATCAAAAAAAAAGTTTATCGTTTATAAGTTACAACCATTTAAAATTATTTCAGGGGTAGTTAGAGATATTTTAGTTAGAGATATTTTAAACTTCTTATGGTTATAAATCTTAAAAGAAAAGATATTTTTTGATGAAATACAAAAAATGTCCATAAATATTGATCTAATCCATGAACTTAAAAAGAAAAATTATGATTTTTGGAGGCGTAGTTCTAGTAGGGGGCAATTAGGGGTCGGGACGCGGTTGGGTTAGCTTCCATGGGTAGTAGTAACAGTATTGAAAACAGCCAAACTTAATAAACTCAATAAAGAACTTTCCAGATTAATGTCGAAATAGAGAATAAAACGTCGATATTATTCCGTATAGGCATTTTTGACATTATTCCTTCTAAATGAAATTCGATTTTTTTTTTGGAATGAATTCCTTAAAATTATTTTTAATATAATTCCCAAAAAACGTTTCGATCAAAAATATTTTCGATAATAATTCGTTTTTCGAGCAATTTTTTTCGATACTATTCTGATTTCCTGTTTCAATTACCTGAACTTTTTACAAATCATCGTTATTTGATACTAATATCATATACTAAAAGTTTAAAAATCATATACTAGAAGTTTAAATATACCACATGGCTCTTAGTTATTTATTTATTTATTTTTTATTATTTTTTTTTTTTGTCATTTGACACATTTTACAATGTTAACCTTACATTCAAATAAATTTATACAATTGCAAGCTGACTGGGGCAAATAGAAGACAAAATGTCTTATCATCAAGCCCCTTCGTGAAAATAGAAAAAATAAATAAAAATTTTACAACTTCCAATAATATTTAAAAGACTAAATTTAAAAAAAGTTTAAAAAAACAAATTAAAAAATTTGAAAAAATTAAAAAGTTTTAAAAATAATTTTTAAGTTTGACAAAACTAAAACGTTTGAAAATAAAAAAGTTTGAAAAAATAATTTATAAATCGGTACATATACGTATAAATATCCAATAAACTTCATAATATATATTTAAATATACGAAAGATATTTTGAATTGAAAAAGATTCCGAACATTTTATAGATTTAAATTCACCTATTTATTTTTGTTTTTAAAACAAAATTAAAACAGACGAACAAAAAGAAACAAGAAGAATATATTTATAAATATACAAGAAGGATATATATATATATATATATATGTATACACACACACACACACACACACACACACACACACACACATATATATATATATATATATATATATATATATATATATATATATATATTTATATATATATATATATATATATATATATATATATATATATATATATATATATATATATATATATATATATATATATATATATATATATATATATATATATATATATATATATATATATATATATATATATATATATATATATATATATATAGCTCTTTTAAATATATCAATAGATTTTATTTTTTTCAAATTTTCGTCAAAATTTGAAAAAAATAAAAACCGAGTTCCACAAGCGTGGTCCCCGACATGTAATTAAGAAGTTCGATTTTTTGAGTGATGTTAGTGGGATATAGTAATTATTTATTGAGTATCTTGTTTTATATTTATGATTAATAAGAGAGAAGTTTTTATAAAAATATTTTGTAACTAGTTCGTTTTGAATTTTAAATATAAATAACAAGTTATGGTAGATGTTTAATTTGTATACATTTAGGGCATTTATTTCCTTGAGTAACGGCTCGGCACTTTCGTATCTATCCATGCCCGAAATTAATCAACTTGCTTGCTTTTGTTTTGTATAAATAGTTTTTAGCTAAGATGAGTGGTTGTTTCCCCTGGCAATATTACAATAGTTAATATGGCTATGTATAAACAAAAAATATAAATTTTTTAAACATATTTTATTCAAAAGAGGTTTAGTCTTATACATTATCCCTAAAGTCTTTGAGACTTTGTTCTCGACTAGCTTTATTTGGCTTTTCCAATTTAAATGTTCGTCAAAAATTATTCCAAACATTTTCATTGAAAAAACTCTTTTATTTTAATATTGTTAATAGTTAGTTCTGGAAGTGTAAGTGGAAGGTTTTCGAATTTAGATGGTTTAGCAAAAAAATATATTTTGTTTTTTCAATATTCAATGAAAGTTTATTTGCTATAAACCATTGAGATATGTTAGTTCTGTTTTTACATTACAAAAAATATTTTTTAAATTTGAATCAGACAAGAAAACATTAGTGTCGTCAGCAAAAATAATATTATTAAGTATTTTTGATGACAAATAAATATCATTAATATAAATTAAAAATAGTAAAGGTCCAAGTATTGATCCTTGTGGAACTCCACAACTTATTGACTCAAATGGGGAACATATTAAATCAAATGGTACTACTTGTTTACGATTCTCTAAATAACATTGCAGCCACTTTAAGTTAGAGTGAGCTACTTCGTAATTACATAGTTTGTAGATAAGAATCTTGTGGTTGACAGTATCAAAGGCTTTAGATAGATCTAGAAATATTTCGAGTGTTTAACTATTGTTTTCATAACTAATAAGGTTCGCAAGATCAATTACTGCATGCTCCGTGGAATAGTTTTTGCGAAAACCAAACTGTTAATGATAAAGAATGTTATTAGTTTTAAGATTATTGTACAGCCTGTTGTGCATAATACGCTCTAGTATTTTAGAAAAACAGGAAAGTATGGAAATTGGTCTATAGTTAGATTTTATCTAATCATCGCCGCTTTTGTATATTGGAATTAAAATTTATGTAAGAACTAGAGGTCACTGATGCAATAAACTTCATTGTATTGTGGTGCTTGTATTCAGACCAACTTATAATTTGTAATTCTAGATTTGTTGGTGTTTCTATAAAAATTTCAGAGCAGTCAAATATTCCTAACAGACTTGGATTATCTTTAAAACAGTTATGGCGGTTCAAACAAACGTTTTCTTCACCTGGAAAGTAAACAAATGATTTAAAATATTGTAACATGCCTATTATCCAAGACTTGAATATTTGAAACAGTAACCAGAGAAAACCTTGAATCTACTAACTATGTCATTGCTTTACGATCCAAGGCGTAATTTCAACAGAACAAGTAAAAATTCATCTTGTAAACATAATTTTCTGTATTTACCACGTTTTTTTGGTGGCTTTTTATTTGGCATTTTCTAGGAGACCAATTTATTTCAGTATTGAAATTAAATCAATGATGTACAATTGATTTTTTAAGGTCATGGAAAATATTAAAAACTTTAACAAAAGGAATGTTTGTGTTAAACTTCTTGTCAGTTGTTAATAACTGTTGAGCCTGAGAGAACTCATTAAAATTAGAAAGTGGAATAATATAATTTTTATTTTCATCTACTACTAATGGTTCAATTATAATATCTTTTTTTTGAATTGAAGTTGACACTAAGTAACAAGGAGTTAAAACGTGGCTATTTAACAGAAAAAGTGTCTCGATTTTTATCAACAAAATATAGTATTACAGTGTGTAGCGGAGTTAGCGCTTGGTTTATATTTATCAAGTTAAGGCTGTGCGTAGCCAGTATTTATTGTACTATTTAGAGGCGCAAACGAGTAACTTTATTTCTAGAATCGAAACTTCTAGAATCTTATCCAAGTTTTTCAGTTGGAAAATAAAATTTTAATGTAGGATATTTATCTTTAAAACAATTGAGGCAAAGTCGTGCGTTTTTTTTTGGACATAAAAAAAAAATCAGTTGTTTCAGGAGCGCTTTATAGGCGGTTAACAAGTTGATCCAAAAACTACGTTGAGGAGATTTTTTAATAGTTAGAAAAGAAAATAACCGAAAAGGTTATACACAATTACATTCAATTCCTTTTTTTTTTCATTTATGTTCTGTGCATATTTCATAAGTCTATAACTTCCATTTAAGCAACTTTCTACGACACAATGATTGCACTTTGCACCAAAAGCTACTTATTAAAATCAAAGCAAGAATGATAAAAGTTGAATTTCAAAATAATTATTTCAGTTTAAAAAAACAGTTTCTATTCGAAAAATAACTTGACTCTTTCGTAAAATATATCATTTTTAATGTTTGTTTACTCGAAATTTTTTTTTTACAACTTTCGGGAATGTCGATAGCCGTGTATTAAATAGTTTTAAGCGTGTTTTGTAAAAAATATTAGTTCGGATTTATAAATTATTATAAAATATTTATAAACTCAACCTTTTTATAAAAAATACTGTAACATAAAAAAATTACACCTCCCCCCCCCCCTTTTCCCTTATGTTAGATCTGGACTAAAAAAATTAAATGTCTTACTTCCAACCATGGCCGTTGATTGTAGACGGATAAATCTTTATCCACTAAAGATGTAATGTTCTTAAAAAAAAAAAACTTTTAGTAAATATTTCTATTAGCTCTATTGTTGATGGTCTATATTGTTTTTTTAATTGTGATCAGGGTTTGATTAAAACGAAAAAACAGGAAAAACTAACATAATTTGTTGTCAAATTTGTGTGAATTTTTAAGAACACACAAAGCACTTGAAAAACAAATCTAAATAACTTGTCAATAACATTACAAAGTCACCAAGGATACTATCAAATTTATATACACAAAAACATACTTCAATGATTTTTACTTCATATATTTATCTTCCTGCTCTTGTAATAACTTTGCAGAAGACTTAGCATCATAAAATAGTTCATTAATTTCATTAACCTCTGCTATAGTAACAGACTCTTGTCCATTAATACTAGCTAACACTGAAGCCGGAGTTAAAAATTGAACAGCATACCTCAGTGTTGATTTATTTCCAATAGAAGCAAGTTCAACAATTGACTCTTCATCAACAGATATTCCCTCAATTTGAGTACGTATTTTTAAAATTTGCCTCATTTCATCTTGAGAGTATGGCATTGTACGGATGATCATAACACGGTCTAGCAAGTCTAGAGGCATACCATGTGGTGATCTCACATCTGTTCCGCGTATTGTGCAAGTACCACGATTTGTAGCAAAAATTACAATTGGAGAAAGGGAAGACTCAAGCGCTTTATGGAGATACGTAAAGCATTCTATATCCAGCATATGCACCTCATCAATAAATAATACACCTGGAACTAACTCAGCAACTCCTTGATCTATATATTTATTGACCACTTTATTTATTTCTTTACGAAGTTTATCTGTGATTTCAGTTTTCTTCGGTTTCATGAGTTGACCCATCATTGACAAAATGTCTTGACCACCTTGTGGACGAGCATTAGCTATGTCCAGATCATGTAAAGTAACATCTTGTACTATTTCTTTCTTCTTATGGACATCACCTTACATAAAAAATAAAAAAAGATTTTGTTTAATTATTTGATGACTACAAAACAATTTCTAATTTAAAATAAATATATTTTTAAATGTATATATGTTATCTACTATTATAAGTATCTATAACTACTTAGTAATTATAGATACTTTAATTATAAATAATGTAATAGTAATTTACTACAATATTATTAGATCAGTACAGTATAAATATATTCTGCTCAATAACATTTTTAAACTTCTAAATATGTAAAAATATTTTTGAAATGCAATTAATGGCAATGACAAATTTAAAATGACATTAGAAAAAAAGATAAAGTCATAAAGATACTTTTACTCTTTATGACTTTATCTTAAAAAATATAAAGTTATAAAGAAACACACTTTTAGTTGACGTATGTAAAGTCACCTCACTAAACATACATATTCTTACAAAAATCAGTTTACATATACACCTTACTTTGTAACTCTAAAAAATCAATTTATATATAGATAGTGACTATAATATATAGATAGTGAGCCTAAATAATTTAGTTGATAAATGTATTAGCTTTATGTAATTAAATCAACTCATATTAAATTAATCATATTAAGATAACAAAAATCCAGTGAACTTTATGAAAAAATATACAACCTTTGGGTAATGGTACATACTCCTCTGCCTCTAAGTCAAATTCTGTTGCAAAAGCATCTGAGCGTCCTAATCTTTTGACAGAACCACTATTTGCTTCAATATAAATTACATCACCAGTTTCAACTTTTTCTTTCTGCAAGCTCTCATAGATTGATGGATCAAGCTTAAGCTGTTTTGTTCCTTTAGCTGTCTTCAGTCCAATAATAATGTGACTTATAGTTTTTCCATACCCCCCTAATGGATTTTCTGTTTCAAATGGAGTTAGCTCAGTAACTTCACCTTCATAAACTTCTTTGGTCTCTTTAATACGCAAACCTATAGCTCTACGAAAATTTTCCATTAAGACTTCAGTTTTTTTTACTTCAGTAGAGTAAACTTCACTTCCTACCATAGGGCAAAATGGAACTTTAGGACCAAGTTCTTGGGCGATTGCTAGTGCTAAAGCTGTTTTTCCAGTGCCAGGTGGGCCAGCAAGAAGAATGGCCCTTCCTGCCATCTTCTTGCACTTGATTAGCTCCACAACAATACCACATGCCTTTTAAAAATGAAATAAATTTTATAACATATATAACTTTATACAAAAAAAAGGTAATATTTTGCACGTAATCAATTAATTTTAAACAATATTCAAAAAAAAAAATTACTAGCTTTTAATTTTTTTATATACTTAATTTTAATTAATGGTATTATAAAATTATACAAAAAAAGTTTAAAACAACAGTAGAATTAATGCTATAATGCATAAAAATTTGAGACTATTTTTCAATAATATTTTTAACTAGTATGATTTTTTTGGTAACATTTCTTAAAAGTATGAATAATAATTAACTAATATTAGTTTTATAGTTTAATTTAGCTAATTACACATCTATAGTTACAACTATATATGTAAACGCAGTAATACTATACTTTGTTTAAGTTGATTTAAATACACTTGCTCACAAAATTTCCCACAAAAATCAGTTGATATTCTCTGAATAAAAATCTTTAAAAAAAAACTCATGCAAATCAATGATTTCTATTAAAAATAAAGTACTTTTTAGGTGCTTAATACATGGGAGGGGACATTTCTTTATTTTTGGAATTTTTCTTAACAACCTTTAAGACCACCTCCCCTGTCTATTATTTTTACTTATCAACAAAAAAAAATTTAAATTTTTTTTTTTTAAATATATAAGTCAATGATAAAAATTTTCAGTGTATTAGGCTTTAAAAAATTGATTTTTTTAAAATCTTGTAAATTTCGATTTGTTGAAATTTAAGTTTTTGCTTATCATAGTAAAAAACTTATGTAAGCATATGAAATTCTATTGAAATTACATTGATACAGCTGTTAAAAATGTGCATTTGATTGCAAGCTACACTAGAATAAAATTGTTTGTTCTTTAAAAAATTCCCACACAATATTTTATAAAGACCACCTGTTTATTGGATCTGAACTTTAATCCCTCCCCCCTTGCATAAAGCACTTGAGAGCGTAACACATAGCTATGTTATAAAACTAAGTACATTTGTATTTTTATAATTAAAAAACATTCTTTTTCATAATTTGTTTAATTTAAATTTTTTTTATAAAAATTATTATAAAAATGAGTTTATGTGGTTATTTAAGAAATATGTTTAAATTAACATATTTATCTTATTATCAAGGTTTCCTTAATTGTCCATTACCTTAATGAAACCTAAATTTATATAACATGTGTAGTAAACTTAATTTATTGAATGAAAAATAAATAATTTAATGAATAATTTTTTTGTACAATATACAATATACAAATCAATAAAATAACAACTTCAATGTTACTGATAGTTTAAATGATCATTTCATTTTAAGATTCCAAGATTGGCACACTTTTTGGAAAGTTTTTTAAAGGTTTTAGAATTTTCAGTTTTAAAAAAGTGGGGGAGATTGATCTGTATATTTGTGAACTGATGCTTTATAAAACGGTCTATTTATTATTGAAACAACTTTCTGCATCCAATTTTTATGCGCATATCAAATTTCAGCGAAAAAAAAAAAAGGAAGCAGATAGATTTCAAAAGGTTTCACTACGCATACTGCATTTTTTCGGTAGTCTTAATACTTCTGTGATGTTTCTTTTTAAAAAAATATACAAACATAGATTTGTTTTTCAAAGAAGAAAGATTAAGCCTGATATCTTTATAATTTTTATGCATGGTTACTAGACTTCTTTATGGGTTATTTTGCTTAAAATTTTGCATAAAAATTTAGACGATGTTCTCTTTTGAATTTGTAGTGAATGTTGATCCCGCTTTATTTATTATTTAAACAATTTTCTACATGCATTTTCTATGCACATGCCAAATTTTAACGCAAAAAAAAAAGGGAGAAGACAGTTTATTAAGTGTAACACTTTTGGTACGTAAATTCTGTTTTTCTGATTTTTTTTTTTTGGGGGACAGAAAATAAGGGGGCAGCTAGGGGGCCATTTTGCAAAAAAATAGTTATTGTGAGAATGTTTACTTGGATTTTTATTATTAAATAATAAAATGGAAAAAATTAATGAAGTTTTGTTGGACTATTTAACAACTTATAATATTTTTTTTTCATAAAAGTATAAGTAATAATTATTTTTAAAACAAAATTATGTTGATAAATGTAAAAATCTTTTTTAAATGTTACATATAAAAAAAAATTAATGTTCAAGACTAAAACTTTTAGTAAAACTGTTGCTTTGGAATTGATTGTTAACTCAAAGTGTAAGTGGACAATTTTATAAAAACACCATACATAAATAAGTGTAAAGATCACATACTTTATTGGTTTTTTCTTAACAAAAGCCTTATTAGTGTTTTTAAAATATATTATCAAAGATCTTACTGTAATAATTATTATCATCATTTTTAATCATTTTAAAATAAAAAACTTTTGATTTAGTTAATAATAATAGGTTTAATAGGTTATTGTAAACAATAATTTAAAGAATAAGTAGTAGGGTAGATAGATTTTAAAAATTTTTGAAATTTGATTTGCATGAGCTGCGAATGTCTTTTGGTGAAAAAAGAACCTAACTTTTTTTTTTTAATTTAAATGAGTTTTAGAGGTCCCTCTTTGGATTCTAAATTTATGACGGATCCTAATATTGTTGAATTTTTTTTTCTTCTAAACTATATCAACCTGGTACTCAAAAGAAGCAGAATAATACGCTTGTTTTGAATATAGTATTCAATATTTTTTTCTCTTTTGTTTTAAATCAAAACTAAAGAGAAAAAAATGTTGTTTTTTTCATTAAAAACCCCCTCATCTTCATCAAAATGGGAGTTTTAAGGTATATTTATGAAAATATTTTTTTCACTAAAATTTTTTTTAAATAAAAATATAATTGATAAAACAAGCATTTTTTTCTGCTTCTTTTGAGTCCAAGGTTGATATAATTTAGGAAAAAAAAAATTCAAAAATATTAGGATCCATCAAGGATTTAGAATTTAAAGAGGAACCTCAAGATCTCATCAAAATCAAAAAATATTTTTTTACTTTCATCTTATAATTAATAGACATCGATTCGTGTCTCAGAAATATTGATTTTTAAACCTTTTTTTTTTGCTATGAAAATCAATCCACCCTAATAAGTAGTATACTATTTACATATTCCATTATCTCAACATGGTAATTATTAAATACAAAAAAATTTAGTATACAATAAATTAATGTTAATAGTCAATAACAGTTTTAACTTTCTTATTAAAATACTTTTAAAACATAAACTTAATCATTAAGTTAATGTTTTGAAAGTGGTTTAATAATGTTAAAACAATAAAATTGTTTTAAAACAATAATATTGTCAATATTGATAGTATAAAATATGAAATTGTTATTGACTATTAATTGCCAATAACAATTTTATCTTTTATTCTATAAATATTATTTTAAATTAATAATTTTGAATTATAATTTTTAAATTAATAAAAAATTAATAACTAACATTAACTTATTGTTTACTACTTTACTAATAACTAACATTATTAACTTATTGTTTACTTTTATTTATTTATTTTTAACTTATTGTTTACTACTTTACTAATAACTAACATTAACTTATTGTTTACTACTTTAAATTAATAAAAAATTAATAACTAACATTAACTTATTGTTTACTACTTTAACTTTGTATTAATATTCCAAGTGTTAGTTTGTTGTTTGTAATTAGATTTTAATTTATACTTTCATTGTTAATTTTCTTAGTAAACTTGTTACACATTTAATGTGTAACAAAACACCTTGAAGTTGTCAACAGTAAGTTAGAAAAGTAACAATCATTAGTTATGTTCTGATTAATGTCATTAATCAGAACATAACTGATGATTGTTACTTTTCTAACTTACTGTTGACAACTTCAAGGTGTTTTGTTTTATAGTACAATTTTTTTTTGTTATCTTTAGTTCATTATACTCAGCATATCACTGGCATGTTTGTACATGATAACTTTTGGTAATGATCAGAAAAACTCTGTCATAAATGGTATGATTCTGACTATTAAAAGTTTGTCATTTATGATGGTAGAGTTGAAAAAAGTAAACAAGAAACAACAAGACAGAATTTACACTATTTCTTATCGGAAACAAGATCAAACTGATATTGAACTGTCAAAATATAATAAAAATCCAGCTTGCTATTGTTGCTATATCAAGAAAGTTAGAACTTTCTTAATTTAAATATGAAAAAATTTTTTTATAATAGATTTAATCATTTTAGTAAAGATTGTAATATTGTAATGATAGGGTGTGTTAAACCTCCCCCCCAAAAAAAAACACCCAACTTTAGGATTGACCTGTAATATTTCCTAGTGATGTGAAATAAATAAACAACAACTTTTTATACATAAATATTACCAATTTCATTAAAAAAACTATTATGAAATAATAGTGTATTTTTGTGAGGTGTAGGTGGCGGGTTAGCACCCCCTCCAGATCCCTCGATGCGCCCTATACCTAAAAACTAATTTGAAATTATAGCCCATTTTTACATCTATCTTTTTATATTAAGTCATAGATATTTAGATAAGAACTGGCAAAGTTATAATGATTTATGTGGAAAAAGAAAATTTTTAAGCACAGTTTTTAGGTATGTGCATAAATTCGTAATTTGCCTAAAAATCACATCAAATGTGTAGTTTATACCATCAATCTATATAAGAAAAACTTATTAACGAACCTGGAAAAGTTTCAAAACATTTGTTCTAAAGTTTTTTTTCAAGTCAGCTACCACAACTGGTATGATACATGAAATAAGAACTATTGAAGCACCTCCAATACTTACATCTGATACGTCTTATGTAAACATAATTGTGCCAATGGTTTCCACTGAATCAAATGCTTTTTTATTATCTTCTCCAGGTTATTCAACAGCCGGAGAATCACATCCAGATATCAGATAATCAGATCCAATACTGTCTTGATTAAGAGGTATCTAGTTGAGTCCAAGAAAAAAAATTTTCAAGCGAGTTGAAAAACCAATTTTCCACAAAAATGGAAAAGCATAAAAAAGTTTTATCAGAGTTTAAAGAAAAGTTCAAGTCAAGGCCATATAGATTTAAACAATTAAATCAAACAACTGCTTGCAAAAACAAGACAATCATGCAAATTCAAAATAAATTAAATGAACAGAGTTTTAGCATACAACTTAAATGTCTTCAAAATAAAAATCTTAGATTGAAAAAGCAAATAGCATTGTCCAAGACAGAATTTACTTATTAAGTTACTATTTTGCACAATCAAATTTCTGATAGAAATGCTGAGATTCAAATTCTTCAAAATGAATTGGTAATTTTAAAGGAGGAAGTTGAGCAAACACAGCACAATGTCCAGAATAGGAGATATGCAAAAGTCTACACTACTGATATTAGGTCATTAATATATTACATGCTTGTTTGTACTGTACCTACACATAGTGTGCTATCACTGCTCCATAAAATTGGAGAATTTACTGGCTATCAGTTTACTGAAATTCCACATCGTACAACTGTGGAGCAGATGATGCATGAGCTTGGAGTTATTTCTGATCTGCAGACTGCTGAAATAGCTATTGCAACAAAAAATCTGACCTTGAGCTTTGATGCTACTACACAAGAGGGTGTCCATGTAAATGCTGGCCACTTTACAACCAAAACAAGATGCATGGTTGTGGCTGTTGACCAACTTGCTGGGGGTACAGCTAATGATTATCAAAATCATATTACACAGTCTGTAGATCACCTTGCTAAATTGCATAGTAATTTTTACGAGCAACAATATATTGAAGTACAATTATTGCTTATAAAAGTAATATGATGAGTGACAGAGTGGCAGCAAACCATGCAACTGTCACTAAGTTAAATACTTTGAGGCAGAAATCATTAAACAAACTAAATTGCCATCTTCACCCATTGGATACAAGGACCTCTGCTTGCAACGCTTCACTTAAAGCATTGGAAACTTTAAAAGGGAAACCGTTTGGCAGGGATTGTATTGTAGCAAACATTGTTATACAGCTTAACAAACTACACTTCAAGGATGGTAAAGGTAAATTAACCATTTACTCTAAAAAATATCTAACAAAGTAACAGAAGCCTTAATTTAATATGTTTTTTCTCTCTATATTATATATATAACTTAGTTTTCTTGATTAAAAACTATATTGAAGACATTCCTGTTTTCTGGTGTGACATTATGTGGTGGTCTGAGAAATAGTCTGTATCAAGACTTTACTTTGGAAGCAGGTTAGATTTTAAATATAGTTAATTAATAAATCCATATGTGAAATTTTATTTGGTTTATTTAAATAATAATACATTTATTATTATGTATCCTTGAATTGTGTGCCTTAGGGTTAATTGGTAAGCTATTAACTGGTCCCTGGATGACTAAGCTTTATGTTGAGCCTGGTTAAGGACTCGACTACATATCTGGCATCCAAGTGTTAAAAAATGTTCGCAACCATCTTGTTGAGATTATTGAACCCACTTGCTTTAGTTCAACTAAAGTCAGATTTTTTTGGAAATGATCTTAATGATCCAACCTTTAATTGTGGACTTTTGTCCACAGACTGATAAAATGGGAGAAGCATTAGGTTGTTGTCTGAATGCTGTCATTATTGTCATTGACAGGCAGTACCAGAGACAATTCAACACAACATCAAATGAACTACTTAAGGACCAGACTCAGCAGGGCTTCATGATATTGACACTGAAGAACTCATGGGTATGTTTAGTGGTGCAAAACATAAATCTCCCAATGCCATACTTTGTTTTTTATCATCAAAGTTGCATGCATGTAAAAATAAAACATAATTTTTTGTTATTGTCGTTTTTTATATTTAGCATTATTATTAGTTCACATAAACAATCACATTATGTAAGTTTCTTATTTATTATACATATGTATACATTATCTTTTCTTTTCTTTTTTTTTTATGCATATAGAGCATTTAAAGGCAGCATTAAATTTAAAGTTACAAGATTTGGAAGGAGCATACTCTACCACTTTTTATACTGCTTTTATGTTTTAATTTTTTTTTGTGTGACAGATGGGCGGGGGGGTGGGGTGACGCCTTGCATCTTATAATTTATTTGTCACTAATATATAGTTTAATAAAATATAATTTTTATTTTTTATACTATTTTCATTCATTTTATTATTGATAAAAATATTTATAAGAATAAATCCTTCGGTATTAGGGTGTGTACCATTACCACCACATCCACCTCTTTCATAAAATACATCTCTAATATTTGCTTGGAACTGGAATAAAAAAATAACAACTTTTTTAATGATAAATTACTAGTTTTATATTAAAAAAAAAAAACTTTTATAGAAAAAATGTGAATTTTTTGATAGCAAAGATATTTTTTCTGTCCCCCCTCTAGCCCCCTGAATACGCACAGGTGATAAAAGTGAATGAGGTATGTAGCCCAATGTTACACCTATCTTTGATACCAAGTTATATGCATTTAGATAAGCAGTGACAATGTTGAGGCGGTTTAAGTTACAAAACCATTATAAATTGGTCACATTTTTGTTAAGGAATCCTTGTAATCAAATTTCGTCACTATAATGCTCATAACTTGTAGTAGAATCATCTGATTTTGATAAAATTTTCAGTTTTGCAATATTTTTTTAAAATTCTTTCCAACGATATATAACAATCTAATATTTAAACAATTTGAAATTTTTACACACGTACCTACAGTTTTATCAAGAAACCCATATATCGAAAAATTGCTACTAAAAATGCTATATTTTTTATAGAAATGTCCAATTTTCATAACTTTTTCACTTTTAAAATATTGTATTTAAGGGCTTTCCAACGATATATAACATTCTAGTATTTGATCAATTTAAAAAAATTAGTCCACGTACCTAAATATAGCTATATTACTGTAAAAATTGATAGTAAATAAATAATAATAACTACATTATACCTCCCGAGCATTTTCTTGGCCAACTAAACCAGATGCTATGCTAATGGCTGCACCATCCTCATTAAGTCCAAGCCCTTTAACATGACTATGGGCTGCAATGCGTTGAGTCTTAGTGGTACTTTGAACTTCTTCAATCTTCATGATAAGTTGTCAATTGTGAACGGTTTAAAGTTAACAAGCTTTGCGTGCAACACACTTTTAAGGACATAACGTAACCATGTGGTTTTAAGTTATGGCGGGAAAAGCTCTATTTGTTATCAAAATATAAAAGTAAACAAACTGACGATTTTCCTTTAAAATAAACAAAATGGAGATTTTTCATTAAAAAATGTTCATTAAACATTAAAGTTTTAGATTTTAAGTGAGCTTATTGTTTCTGTTTATTTTATTAATATTTAAGAAGAATTTTTTAAATATTTTATTCTATTTTTTGTTTTGTAACTATTTTTAGCTATACATTAAAATAACAAAATACATTTACTAACATAATCGGATGGTGTGAGATATCAAAGATGGCAGTTAAATTGGAAGGTCCATTAACAAAATGGACTAATGTGGTACAAGGATGGCAATACCGCTGGTTTGTTTTAGATGATAACGCTGGTTTATTATCTTATTACACAGTAAGATTATTTTTTTGTTATCAAAAAATGTGTTTTAGTGTTTACAGTTATTTTGGTTTTTTTTATTATCAAGTTAAAATTTTTGAATTATTGTTATTAACTACATTAATTCAGATAAGAATTTTAATAGTCAGAATGCAATTAAGTTTTAAGCATTAGCTTAAATTAAAATACTATTCTTTTATTAGAAACTTAGTTTCTAATAAAAGAATAGTATTTTAATTTAAGCTAATGCTTAAAACTTAATTGCATTCTGACTGCATTAAGAAAGTTCAATTTCTTGATAATAAATTAAATTACTTATCAAAATAAATGATAATTATTTATAGTATTTATCAATTGTTTTTTTGTTTTTTTAAGTATTTCAAATATTTTATGTTTTTTATATTATTGATATTATTTTTTTATGAGTGTTCTTAACTGAAGAGGTTTATTAGTAAACTAAATTTTAAGATAAACTATTAAACTCAAAATTAAAAATATGTAGCTGGATTTCTTGGAACTATCAGGATATGAAGTATTTTGGTTCTACAATATAATGGCTGATAAATTATAGTAACATTTTTTGTTGCTTATTTCAAAAATTTCAAAATAATTTTATATTGCAATTATATTATGTATATTAGGGTCATTAGTTTTAGGTATCCCTGTATGAAATCAGTATGGAAAATAGGTGAACTTTAGTTTGAAAGTAATTAAAAAACCTTTTGAAAAAAAGTCTACCCTTGATAACTCTACATTACATGCTGAGCCACGTATATATAAGAAGTTATATTCTACATACTGTAAAGCTTTTAGTTCTCTCTAAAAGTGTATGAACCTGGGTTTTTAAAGTACCAAAATTCTATATATTTTTTACAAATTTATTTTATTGATAAGCATTGTTTGTTAATAATATAGATAAAAAAAATTATAACATAATATTTGCATATTTGCTATCAAGTTAAAATTAAAAAATGTGAAATAAAAATTAGTTTAAAAATATATTAAATATTTTGAATTTTTTTAATATTTATATGGTATTAATAATTTATATAGTTAATTAATTGTTTATAAACAGTGTTTCTTACTCATGTATTACCTTAACCATTACCGGGGGTAATTTGCAAGTTTTTTTCTTTCTTGTTATCCGGGTAATTTCAGGTAATTTTAAATTTTTCAAGTTTTTTAAAAGTTATTTCCATAAATGAGTACTTTTGGCTGTTATCAACTTTGTGAAGACATTTGTATAAAAAAGTTTTATAATATAAACCCACCTTTATTTAATTTGTTGAGGTTTCCAGCTTAGTCCGTGGTTATTACAAAAGTACTAATACAATTTAAACAAACTAAAATAGAGATTTTCAGAGTGTAAAAGATTTATTGTTTAAAATTAATGTATTTGTTATTAACATTATTGTCAAAGTTATTATGTTTTTTTTTTAATAAAAAAGTTGTTTATAAGAAACTTGTACAAAATGATAAGAATATATATATATATATATATATATATATATATATATATATATATATATATATATATATATATATATATATATATATATATATATATATATATGTATATATATATATATATATATATATATATATTCTTATCATTTGTGTATAATATGAGTATTTAGTAACAAATTCAGATAATTTATATTGCAGTATACCTCTTAATAAGCTCTAAAGAATTTTTAGTATAAAATCAGGAAAATAGAGAAAATAAGACACTTTCTAGTTTTACATATTTTTTTTGGTTTCTCATAAAAATACTGTAGCTATTTTTTTTTTAAATATAAATGGTTATTATTTAACATATATTTACTTGTCATTATTTTTCACTATATTTAACAAAGAAAAATAGATTTTAAAAAACAGAAGATAGCACAAAATATAAAATTTGTTCAGCAGTTTTGAAAGCGTATGATTGATATGAGCAAAGCATAAGATTCCAGCTAAGTTTTACTTTAAGCACCATTAACACCATCAAAAGTTTCTTGCATTATACTTTCTTTAAGAAAGGCTTTGAACCTCTTGGTGAGGTGATGAATAAATTGGTTGCAGTTGATGGTCTTAGTTTCAACCAAATTGCAAATAGTGTTCTGCTTAGAAGAGCATTTAAATTAGATGGTTACATTTTGCCAAAAAAGTCCTCCAAGTATCAGAAATCAATTTATGACAGAATATGGTGAAAATATCACCATCATTAAGAAAGATATTCGGAAAAAAAAGAAGGTCATTTTTTCCTCAGCTGTGATAAATCCACTTCAGTCAGAAACCTTTGTTTTATGAATCTGAACTTTTATGGTTTAGATGAAAAAAAAAGCTATTCAACTTGTTAAGTCAAGATTTTCTGAAATCCATTCAGATTTGGGCAACAACATTGTAGCAACAATCACTGATGGTGCAAGTTATGATGAAATTTAGAAAAAAGACCAGTCCAATTCATGTTAGCTGTCTTGCACATGCAATCCATTATTGTGTTTGTGATATATTTTATAAACCAATTAAGATAAACGATGATTTAATTTATGATAAAACTGAAAAGGAAGAGGATTATAAAGAAACAATTGAGGAATGTGATAAATTAAGCACTGAGACAAACCTAGTTTCTGATATTGGTGCTATTGTTGCTAAAATTTGTAAAATTGTTCAAGTTTTCAGAAAGTCCCAAATCAGAAATGATGACAATCTTCAACCTCAAAATATTCAGTCCTTTGGAAAGGAAAAAGCTTTACTTTTATATTGTAAAATATGATGGAATACTTTTATTAAAATGCTACAAAGATTTTATGAAGTTCATAGTAAAGTTAAAGTAGCAATGATTCTTCTTGAACAAGAATTTGATGTTTCCAATAAAGAATTGGTGAAGATTAAAGAACTATGCGATGCCCTTGCTCATATTGTAGATGAATATTTATGCAAAGAAAATGCTAATCTTTTGCTTGCTGAAAAAGATACTGAATTTGCTGCGAAGAAGCTGAAACATCAAGAAGCTTTGGTTTTCTAGAAAAATTTGAAGTCCAAACTCAAGAGAGAAATAACCTCAGTCTTGTACACTTAATACAATATTTAAAATCAAAAGAGTGAAAGGATCAGGTTGGTCTAAAAATAAAAAAAACGTAAAATAATATTTCTGGCTACTTCATTTTTAAGCAGACTTTATCCAAAGAAAGCAAGTGAAAGCTACCAGTTAATTTTGAAGTTACTAGTACCAGGGAAGAACCCAGACCTGTTTTAGTACCTCTGGAGCGGTATGGATGCCAAAAAAATAGCACCCAAAAATTAAATTATTTTATTTTTATTTTACTTTTTTTATTAAAAATAGAAAAAGAAATTTCAGTTTTAAATGCAGTAGTATATAAATAATTTTTAACAAAATTATTTATTTACTAATTATGAAAAAAACAAAACAAAAGCATTTATTAAAATCTTAAGTAAAATGGTTTTTTTATCATAACTAAAGTAACATCGTCCACCGGTAAATTCATGCATTCAAAAACATGCCTTTAAATCATTTCCTTATCTTAGGATAAAACTAAATAAGATAAGCACAAATGATTTAAATGATAATGGAAAAAATGATGATTAAAAATCATTGTTGCGGCACCAGTTTTAACTAGGGGAGGAGGAGGAAGAGAGAGGGGGGAGGGTAAACTAAAAATACATCACTTCCCCCACCCCTCCCCAATCCAAGATTGGATCTAAGATTCTAAAAAAAAGAGATGAGTTTATTTGAAGCTACTTGTGCAAGGCCTGAATATCTTGAAAAACATTTATTAACTTTTTAACCAACATCAGTGAGCATTTTTTTTAAACAATCAAAGTGAGCATTTTCTGCCATGAGGCTTTTTGCCACAAAATAAGAAATAGATTGGGAGATAATAGCATTGATGCACGGGTTTTAATGCATCAATTCTACAAAAAACTTGAAAAAAAAAAAGTAGTTTAAAGATAAATGTTATAAAACTTATTCATTTTAGCCTTTCCAAAAACTTGCTGTTTTTTTTTTAATCAAAATTGACTAAATTTACACCCCATAATGGTGGCTATAACTTCTAATTGATAAAATTATACTGGTATTATGTGGGTAAATTTAGAATTACTCATTACTTGGGTAAATATTTTTGGCTGTGTAATGAAAACACTGTTCATAAGTAATTATTCAATGATATAAAGATAAGATAGTATTTAATATATTATATATGTAATTATATTTTTATATAGTTAATATAAATAAAAACACAAATTATTTAGTTAAGAATTTTGTGAATTATATAAAGCTTAGATAGTATATATTATGTTTTATGTATAGTATACTATATATGTATAGTATAGTATATGTATAGTATACTATATATATAAAACATATGTATTTATATGATTTAAATAAATAAAAACAAAAGTTATATAGTTCAGAATGCTTTTATTTAAAGGTTATATAAAAATAATTTTTTTTTTTAACTTTCTTTATAAAATAAAACTTAATATTTAAATATTTAAAAAAAAAATGAAAAGATTTTTAAAAATATTTTAAATATAGGTAATAAAAACTGCAACATTTTCAAATGTGAATAAATGAGAATAAAAATAAGCAAGTATAATTTTTTTTAATAATTTAATCACTTTTTTATTAAATATATAACATTTTTAAAATTCCAAGAGTTTTATGTGTGTTTGTACAATTGAAAAAATCTGCATAATGCATTTCTTCATTATAAAGAGTTTTAGTGATACAATGGTATATAAAATCATGCAGAAATAAAAACAGGGTAAACTTTACTGTAAACTTTGATTTTTTATTAAATAATTTTTTAATTTTTTTAACTTTTATATCTACTGTCAGCAATACAATATAATAGTTTCTTTTAACTAGTAAATTACTAGGAAAGTTTAAAAAAAAGAAATTCATACCAAAAATATATTATACTTATATTATATACATTATATTACCTTTTTATAATAGGCATATGTTTAAACTTGATTGTTATTATGAGATTTTTATAATTATAAAATTATGTTTTACTACACTTAAAGTCAAAAGAGAAAATGGTACGGGGAGCTCGGAGAGGATGCCTTCGACTAAAGGGTGCTCAAACTGGAATAAGTGATGAAGATGATAGTACATTTACTTTAACATGTGATCACCGAACATTTCATTTTCAAGGTATTTTGAATTATTTTATTTGTTAATCAGCATGTTTTTTTAAAATCAGTTTGTATCTAATATCTATATCCAAGATCTAGTATCTTGTATTTTAGTTATTAATGTTTTATTTGAATTAATATACTTTTTTTTTTCCTCATAAAATCTATTCCAGAAAAATTCATTCTGTTTGTCATTTTATGGTCAAAGGAGTGGCCATAAAAACACTCTTTTTTGATACTCTATGTTGATAAAAATTGAATAGTAGCAATCTAGAATGGATTTAACCCTAAAGTTACTGGTTGGAGGTTGACTTCTGAAATATTTGTTTAACAATAAAAATTTATTTAAATATAAAAAGCCTAGAAATAAATAAAAGAAATCAAAGAAAAGGCAGTAAGTATAGCAATAAATTATCTTTGATAATAATAAAAAAATTATTATTAAACTTTGAGCAAAACATCCAAAATAAAGAACAGTATGAGAAATTTGACAATATAAAATCCTTGAATAAAAGAGTAGCTTGTTTGAGTTGAAACATTTTTCCTTATTTGTGAAAAAGCAAAGTATTTATAGTTTGTTTTTCCACACAGGTTTTTTATTATGAATATCAAACTTAATTGTAATCTGAGAAGATTACAATTAGTAAGGAATAAACAGAGTATGCAAAGACCTTTACATTTTTAACAGTAAAAATTGACCATTACAATTATTTAAGTCAATAAATGAAATTGAAACTTATCAAGATTTGCAATTGTTTTGTTTATTGTAAACCATGAGTTGGTGTTTGATGTTTCTATAAGACAAACAGTAATATTCTCTAAATTGTTGTTATAAATATAAAGAATGATGTTGTCAGCAAAGTTACAGATTTGCAATTCTTTAATAAATAAATAAAATCATTTTTTAAAAAAATTAAATATTGAATCGAGTCGAAATATTGAACCTTAAGGCACACCAAAATCTGTATCTTTTCACTACCATTTCATTATACCATTCTGATAATGAAGATCTCAATCTTTATTTGTGAGCAGAAAGGGAAGATAACAAGAATTTGAAAACCTATAACCTTTTTACTTTGGAATAAGGAAGTCATGAGGAATTATATCATGTTTTTGACATTTATAAATACAGACACAATGGCATCTCCTTTATCTAAACTTGCTAATTTTTGAAGTAAATTAAAGAATTTATGCTGTATAATGAACACTCTCGCCAAAATCCACACAACAGTTCTTCCAATCTTGGCTAGATAAATTTAATTTTTATTTAAACATGTTTTTTTTAAAGAGGTTAAAATTATAAATAATATCAAATTGAGATTTTTTAATCATATATAATAAATTTTTTTATGTTTGCTAATTTTAAAAGATAAAATGAATCGCTTTTTGATCTTGAATGTGATATGTCTTTAGTAATAGTGTAGGGATTCATTATTCATTATTCAAAAATTCATAAGTTGCTTATGAATTTTTTTTTATTGCAAATTAAGTTGTTTACTGTTAATAATTATTTAAATCTTGTTCATATTCTTAAATTAGTAAATTGCAGCAGTTTTATTGAGTCTACTAGATATTATATCTTACTATGTCAACGTGGACTATCATTTAGTACTGTCCACTTAAGGAAGCCATACAATCCATTGCTGGTTCCATGGACGAACCCATACCTGTTTTGATGCAGCGGTACTAAAACAGGTATGGGTTGGTACATAGTGGGCCAGGTGGTGGAAAAAAGTATGAAAAAAATATCTTCAAAAATGATATTGTTATAAACCATTTTATAGCTTAGATCTGGCTTTTATAAAATGTATATATTTCTGTATAACTATTATGTCGTTTGCATTTTAAGCTGTTAATAAAAAAGGAATTTTTTTTCAATTTTTTTTTCTTTGTTGTTTTTTAATTTAATAGTATTTTTCGTATTAGTAATAAGCATAAAACTGTTTTTAATTAGTAAAACTTCATTTTTTTATCGAATAATTGAATAAAACTAAGTATTATCTATCAAATGAGCTATTGCAAAATTATTTTGCATGTAAGCTATATCAAATAAATTTGATATAGCTTACATTTGGAGTTTGTTTTATCTCCAAATGTCTCATGAATAGAACATTTTTTGTATTTGTAGGCTGAAAATGAATTATTTTGATATCTATGCATTCATTATGCATAAGCCTAATAATCTACAAATATCTAACTCTGGTATTGTGGACGAATTTATTGATGCTATGAATTTGGATTGCAACAAGCAGCAATTAGGAACTATAATAACATATCTACGAGATAAATGGCACAAGTCATATTGCTGTATGGCTCGATTTGAAGAAAAGAACAAAAAATGGCTGCAAAGCCATGTTCCTGAAAATTTAAATGTAACACCAATACCTATTGGAAGACCAATTAAGACAAACTTTGATGACTACTCTACTAAAACCAAAAAACATAAAGTTAGTCACTTAACTGAAATGTATTCTGCTTCTGCGTTACAATTTGCTTTAGAAATTGAACGGAGAAAAGAAAATCCAACTAAAAAAACCTCAAAAAAAGATTGTAGAATATGTATAGATGAAGCTCTTTGTCTTCTTTTAGATGCTAGATTGACAAAAGCTTCCTCCAAATTAATCGAAATCAAGCAGTTGAAATGGAACTTGATGTATATCCTCCATATAATGATGTTCAGGGTGCAAAGCTGTTTTGTTATCCTGCAGATATATCTGTCTCAGACTTTTCAGCTGGAATAAAACTGCAAGCTTTAGTCGATCATACAGCAAATAGAATATGCAAGGCACAGTATGACGTCCTTAGCACTGAAGGCACTCCAGATAGACTTTCTCTGAGATACAAAATAGGCTTTGATGGTGCTACAGGACAGTCTATATATAAACAAATATCGCAAGGAACAGTAATAAGAAATTTAAACAATGAGCAGGCACTTTTTATTACTTGCCTAGTGCCATTGAACTTGTGTGGTTTTTCAAATGGAAAACGGTACCCAGCTTGGCGAAATCCACGACCATCATCAACAATGTACTGTATACCTCTGCATTTTAAATTTGAAAAAGAAACAGCAGCAGTTTCTTAATCAGAAGAGGATCTCATTAGGGTTGAGATTTCAAACTTGCAAGATACTGAAGTTGATATGAATAATTAAAAAATCAAAATACATCATATAATTCATATTACTATAATTGACAGAAAAGTTCATACTACTCTTTCAGATGTTACAAATTCAAATCAATGCTGTACTATATGTGGGGCAATTCCCAAAGCAATGAATGATATCGAAAAAATGGTTTTGAAAAAGGGTATGGCAGGCAGTTGATCATTTGGTTTATCATCCTTACATGCTTGCATGCGTTTTTTTGTATGTTTATTACATATTGGATATAAAATAACTTTGAAAAAGTGTCAGACAAGAACAGCAGAAGATAAATCTAAAGCAAAGGCTCTGAAACAATAAATTCAAAATAGATTTAAAGATAATATGGGCTTGATAGTTGATGTTCCAAAATCTGGTGGTAGTAGAACATCAAATGATGGAAATACAGCTCGAAGAGCATTTCAAAATGTAGAAAAGTTTGCAGAAATTTTAAATATTGATGTTGAACTGATTCTAAGTTTGCATATTATATTGGCAACAATTTCATGTGTTTTAGATATTGACACCGATAAATTTAAGGCTTTCTGTTTAAAAACAGCTCAACTTTATGTTCATCATTATCCTTGGTACTATATGCCACAATCTCTCCATAAAATTTAAATCCATGGTTCTGAAATTATTATAAGTTTAACATTACCCATTGGTATGTATTCTGAAGAAGCTCAAGAAACATGCAATATAGACTTTCAAAACTATAGTGAACATTTTGCAAGAAAATCATCTTGTGTGAAAACTAACCAAGATTTGTTAAATCAACTTCTCTGTACATCTGATCCATTTATTGCATCTCTGAGAAAGACAGCAGGAAGTCACACCAAAACAAAAAACTTAGCAGCTGGACAGGGTTCATGGCACTCAGGGAAAACCTGGAAAACCAGGGAAAAGTTTTAAAAATTTAGAAAATCAGGGAATACCTGGAAAAGTCAGGGAATATTTGTTAAAAATCTGTAAAATCAGGGAAAACTCAGGGAATATTTTTCAGTTTTATATTTAGCTTAAAGTTATTTTGCAAAATACACATTTTGAGTGTTTATTGTTTTTGAAAGTTGCTTACTAAAGTGGTTTTTTAATTTTTATATTATATAGTAACTATATGTTTAGCTAAATGTATAAATAAATATAATAATGTAAGACATTACTTCAGAAAATAAAGACTTATTTTCAAGAGGATGGTTACAGCAAGATATTTATAAAGGTTGGTTAGTTCCCAACGCACATGCAAAAGCTAAAGCTTATTGCAAAAAATGTAAAAAATCATTTGAATTATCCAATATGGGTATTCAGGCTGTTAAAAGTCATGCAGCAGGTATTTATATTAACTTTTTTAACGCAAGAGTGAAAATTAAAAAGAAATGTTGCTTGATTGATTCATTATTTTGTATTTTAATATCAGTTTTTAACAAATTGTAATCAACTTTTGATTGCAACCTGTTTCAGTTGTTTTCCTTGTTGGTTGGTTGCTTATATTGTTATTTCAAACTTTGCAAGCTAAACAGATAGAGAAAAAAGATGAAAAATGTTAGATATTTTTAAAACTGAAATGTTTAATTATTTATTTATCTTGTTTTAGGTAAGAAGCATCAGTCTGCTACAAAGCCTGTTAGTTGTTTCTTTATTAATGGAAAAGAGTTGCATGCTGAACCATTTGGAAGTGAAGAAAAGATATCAACATTTTCCACCAAAAAACAAACAACTGTTGTCTCTTTAATTAAATCATCGTTATCAACTAACGCTGAGATCATATGGACCTTGAAATCTACAATGAGCTGCTACTCTAATAACTCATGTGCAAATATAAACGACACTTTTAAAAAAATGTTTCCTGATAGCAAGGTAGCAGAAGATTTCACTATGAGCACCTCAAAAGTATCATACATTGTTAACCATGAACTAGCCCCATACTTCAAGACACTTTTAAAAAAAGAAATCACAAACTCTGATTGTTACATTTTATCTTTTGATGAGAGTTTGAACGACATAACCCAAACTTGTCAGATGGATCTACTTGTTCGGTATTAGGATGACAATGACAAAGTTAAAGTGAGATATTGGACATTTCAGACAGCATTTCTTGGTCATTCTACAGCTTCTGACCTTCTTACACATTTCAACGAAAACTTATCAAAATTTGATTCAAGTAAAATGTATCAAATTCCAAAGATACGAATCTGAAATTTCTAGATGAACTAAATAAACACAGAAAGGACAACAAGATGCCACAACTTATAAATATTGGAAGTTGCTCTTTGCATGTAATCCATGGTGCTTTCAAAACAGCTATCGAATCAACAACATGGAATATTAAAGAAACTTTAAAAGGGTGTTGGCAAATTCTTCATGATAGCCCAGCAAGACATCAAGATTATGAAACAGTCACAGGTGCAATAAAATACCTTTTTTTTTTTTGCGGAACAAGATGGGTTGAAAGTAAATCTGTTGCAGATTGTTGCATTGAAATCTGGCCTAATATATTTAAGTTGATTTTTGGGAAAAGTTACCAAAAGTTTCGAAATAATGTAAATCAAAACCAAAAGTTTCGAAATAATGCAACAGCCTTTTTTAAATTTAAAAAAGGCTGTTAAAGACAAACTTATTATTTTAAAATTTGAAGCTTTCAGGTTTGTTGCAAGCATATTAGAGCCATATTTGTTGGCATACCAAACTGACAAACCAATGATTCCATTCATGTATAGTGACTTAGAAAGACTGTTATGAACCATACTGAGCTTGTTTGTGAAACAAGATGTTATCGATAATAGTTGTATTTCAGTCCAACTAAAAGAAGTTGACTTTCATAAAAAAGATAATCTACTTAAAGGAAATCAAATCAAACTAACGTTTCCAGCTGAAACAAGACTGGCTGCATTACGAAAGAAAGATGTAATAACCATTGCTGATATTCAAAGTTTTCACAAAGATTGTGCTAACATGTATGTTCGATTGATTGAAAAGTTCATGGAGCAAACTCCACTAGGATCTATCATTGTACGCAATTCTCAGGTTCTTAACCCAAGTGCAATTGTAGCAATGACTCTAGAAGATGCTGAGAAGAAGTATAAATCTTTATTGACCCACTTGATTAGCTTGAAATATGTTTCACCAATCTCTCTGATAAAGCTATAATTTCAGTTTTAAATGCAGTAGTGTATAAATAATTTTTAGTTTATTTTAGCTACTTGATTTTTTCTTCAGGACAATAAAAATAATTAAAAAGCAATTGCTTTTTTCACATAATTATGTGAAAAAATAACTGTCAAAAAAGTAACTGTTCTTAGGTTACTAAATGTTTTAAAAAAAGTGAATGTTGTCACGATACTTAATTTTAAAAACTTGTTACAAAATTTTATAACAATCAAATGTATAAAAAGTTTGCTTTTTCGAAAGATAGAACAATTACGACCAAGTATCCATTCATAGTAAAATATACTTTGTTTATTGGCAATTAAGAGTTAACTGCTTTTGATAAAAAATAAACAAAAGTAAAAAATTTCAGTCTTAATAACTATCACACAAAATTTAATTTTTGAATGAAACTTTTGATCTTTAGCTTTCTATTTTTGTTAACATTAGGAAAACAAAAAAACGAAATGTAAACTTTTTCAGAAAGTTTTTTTTTTTTTCCATATTCTTTTTGAAATAAATAATATTAATAACATTAACAATAACTTAATAAAAGTTTTATCAAGATCTAGTTATTTTTTCAATGTTTTTAATGTTTAAAGGGACTACCAAGTCCTGAGACATGTTGTGTTCATATTAAAGAGAATGTTAAAAAAAACGTTTGAGCAAATTTTTTTGATTAAAACTAATTAATAAATGTATACCAAGAAAAACAAATCTTATTGTTTTAGTCGAAGCTCGTCTTCTCCGTTTTCTCTGGTATTTTGAGTATTTAAATTAAACGTGATTTTCCAGGCGCATTATACAGACTTGATAATTTATTCAAGCGCGTTTAATTCATAGGAGTTTTATTGTATGGCGTCATTGGAAACATTCTAGAAATTCTTTAAAAATTTTACTATTAAATTTTACTCAAATAGCTAACTATAGTTACTTATTTTATTAAAAGTTTATTTTATTAATTGTTCGTTAGTTTTTTACAAATCTAACGAACAATTAATTAAACCAAGCACTAAGAAAAGATATAAAAATTAAGAATATACTAATAAAATATATAATTTGTAATTAACTTTCAAAATTTTGACAATTTAAAAAATAAATATTATAAAACATTTATTTTTATAAACAAATGATTATGTTTAAATGTTTTACGGCTTTACAGATGTTGCTCTGAGAATGAGCCATAATATTATAGAATTAAGTTTTAAATTAATTAATAGAATTAGTTTGTTCGCAAATTTGGCGGGTTTTTAGTGTTCGGGAATATTCTTTTTATTCTTCTGCAAGATGTTTTAAGAACATTCAAGTTAATTATGTTTCCATGTATATCTGTAAAATAAAAAATAATATATATTAATTTTTTAATTTTTAAGCCCCCGCTATAATATTATTGGATGTTATAATGGAAATATAAATAATGAAATAAGATCACCTCAATACCAAAAAATACATTTTTGAAAATCAGAGAAAAAATGCGTTAATAATTTTTTTTTAATATTTACAAAGTAAATTAATAAAAGTGCATTATTATTTAGGTTAAAAATTATTTTATCTAATATTTTGAAAGAAAAACTTATAACAAAAGAAATCAAAATACACGTGGTCTACACGGTTATTTAAAAAAAATTGCGCAAATAAAATACTATTTTTTTATTTTATTTTTGTTTTTAATTTTGTTTTACAAACACATTTCAGAACTTTAAAATATAATAAAAATGAATATGATTTGGAAATTGTATGTAAAAAATAACAATCGGTGTTTTAAACAAACAAAAAAAAACTATGACGTCATGCACTAAAACTCCTATGAATTAAACGCCTTTGAATAAATTATCAAGTCTGTATAATGCGTCTGGAAAATCGCGTTTATTTTACATACTCAAAATACCAGAGAAAACGGAGAAGACGAGCTTCGATTAAAACAACAAGATTTGTTTTTCTTGGTATACATTTATTTATTAGTTTTAATCAAAAAAAAATTTGCTCAGATGTTTTTTTTTAACATTCTCTTTAATAACACAACATGTCTCGGGACTTGGTAGTCCCTTTAAAAAAATCCATAGTAAATATAAGTTTATTAAATGTGATTTTCAAAAATTCTACTGAAAAAATAAAAATATAAAATTTTTTTTTTTAAATATGTTTTTTAATCTAAAAACTATATCATTTTAATAAATTACGTTTACCGTAACTTTCTCTTTTTTAATTATCTTTAATTTAAAAGGCACCTTCAAATCACTTTAAAAATTATTAACCTTTAATAAAAGTTAAATGAACAGATTTGTTACATTTAAATCAAAATTTTAAAGTTATATTATGAGTAAATATGTTTATCAAATGTTTGTTTTTTATTCGATTAGTTATTTTAATACAAGACGTAAAACTATTTTGTTAACTTTACAAATATTACGCGATTTAATATATGTAAATGTATTATGTAATGTAAATATTGATTAAAAATTGTTTAAAGTATTTGAACATTTAATTACTAATTATTTAAAACATTAACAACTACTAATATTAAGTTTACCAAAATATAGTTTAAAAAAAGCAGCATCTCCAAATAAATTCTGAGTTCGTCACTGGGTTCTTCTAATACTGACCTTTTTCTTTCGAATATAGATGTAGTTGGACCTGCTCTAGATGCCAATGCTTAAACCATTGTAAGGTTGCATCTCTTACTCTTTTTTACAGATATTACAATGGTTACTGCTCAGGTATCATCTCTTGTTTTCATGCTATCATCTCTTGTTTTACTAACCAAAACACAACCTTCATAATCATTGATAATAATTATCAAGAATAAAAAAATCAAGATTTATCATGATTTACTTTTTAACTCTTTTTAACTTTTTTTCTTTCTTTTTAACTCTCTTCTTTATCTTTTAGCTCCCAATAGTGTCCTAGAAAGAACACAGTAACTTAATTTTTTCATGATAAATTTTATTTTGGGTAATACTATTCATTATTTTCTTGATCTGTTGTGTAAGTAAGAACATCTTATGTGATCTCTAAGTATCTGTTTTAGATGTTTTAATTTCATAGTATCTGCAGGAAATATAGCCAAACTTTGTAAGAAAACAGTAAAATAATATAAAAGATATTTTACAGATACTGTTTTGTTTCTTATCAGGGTAAAGTATTAGTTGCTTGTCATATACTACATAAGTAGTGGCAGGAAAAGATTACTACATCTGTGGAGTAGTGAAATAACATCCACACATTTTTGTGTAAGATCATCCGCTTTTTTTCTTTATAATAACTGAATTTACTATGAGTTATTTTGTATTGGAAAACAATTAGTACATCTTCAGCTATAAATACTTTTCTTTTATTAACACAATCTCTGCCAAACTTGCAATTAGTATATCTGTGGCAAATATAAAGTTGAATATTTATATTAATATTTAATACATTTTATACTTTGATTTTTTAAGTTCAATCTTGATATAATGTTTAAGAATATAATTATAAAAAAGTTTAGGTAATTGATATTAAGTAAAGTTTAATCTTTTAATATTTTGCAGCACATGATAAAGATGAAAGAATCAAATGGGTGCAAAGTTTGGAGGCAACTATTAAAAAACTTGCTAACTCTCAAAGTGTAGGAAATACCAATGATGCATCCATTGAAGAAGAATTAAATGGGAAATTGCTTGAAGCAGAAGCTTATTTTCGTATTTTAACACAGCAAATTAAGGTTGAAATTATGTTTTTTTCCCTTTTTTAAAAAATTTTTAAAACATTTTTCACTTTAGTTCTTATTTGAAGAGCTCTTATTGTAAATAAACTAGAAAAATTAATTTAAACTATTTACAATATACAACCTACAGCCCAATGAGAGCTGAGAAATGGAAATTGTATATCAAATAATCCATGATGAATTAGATCCTGTGCATGAAGAATCTCTGATTTTAGACCCACTTTTCAAAGAATGACCCAGAGTATGGTCTCCTAAATGACCATAATTTTTGGTAAAAACAAAATTTATTGTGTTTAGTTAACTTGTCACATTTTTACTCGTTCACATTTTAAAGATATTTTGAGACTTTCTATTTACAAAAAAGTTTTTATAAAAATTAATTGGCATCTTGTTTAACAAAATTAAGAGAGTGGATTTTAGTAGATGGCACAAGAGACGCTAGCTCTTTAGAGCAGTGCTCATTATAGTATTTTGTAGAGCAGTGCTCATTATAGTATTTGCAGAAGTGAGATCCTTTTCAAGCTCAAATGCCCCCTCCAAGCAATCAGAGAGAGTTGGCTTCTTATCACGACAAAAATAAATAGTAGTATCATCAGCAAACAATGTCACCTTAGATGTGAGAATATCTGGAAGATTGTTAATGTAAATCAAAAAGAGTATAGGGCCATGGATTGAACCTTGAGGAACCCCTGAGGTTACAGAATAAGAAGAGTGCTGTCCATTAAGGACAACTTTTATACTACAATTGGAAAGAAAGGATTCAATAATCTTGAAGATGTTTCCAGATACACCGTAAGTTGATAGCTTATGGAGAAGACCAGCATGCCAAACTTTATCAAATGCTTTAGATATGTCAAGAGCGATGACCTAAACCACTCCACCTTTATCTAATGTACAATAAAACCTATCAGTTATTACTGTTAGCAAATCAGCCGTAGAACGAGAAGATCGAAATCCATTTTGATGATCAGAAAGTTATTAGATTCAAGATGAAAGATTAAGTGTTTGTTTATTAAAGACTCAAAAACCTTGCTTATGATAAGAAGACTAATGGCACTGTAGTTAGACGAATCAGATCGATCTCGAGAATTGTTAAAAATAGGGATAACATATGCTGCTTTCCAGCAGGCTGGAAAACAAGACTCTGATAAGCATAGCTCCAAAAACACTTCTGCAAGACTATAATAGGTATGTTGTCTGGGCCACAAGCTGTAGAAGAGTCTTAGCAGGAAATCACTTTAGATACAGAAGCTGGAGTGATATAAATGTCAAGCAATGGATCAACCTGTTTGACAGCTATATCAGGTAGAACACAACTAGTGGAATCAAGAGATGATATTGATGAAAAGTTCTTAGCAAACAATTCAGCTTTGTCTTTAAGTGAGGTGACAAAGTCTGAACCATACAGAAGAGGTGGAATTACAGACTTGCCCTTATTATTGATACTATTAAAGATTCTCCAGAAGAAGTGATGAAATACGAGATTTCATAAATAAATAAAATCACCTTTAAACAATATTAGAGGGCTTTGAAGTGTTAATGGCTATTTACTTGTGCCTCTTTCTAGTATAAACAAAAATTCAGGGAGGTAGCGACTAACCATATCTTTCATTTTTGTGAGATGACTTATAATGAACTGATATGTGAGTTAAATATGAGTTGATAGCGAGGTTGAAGGGGCGCTGTTTATCAATAATGCTTTTAATGCTAAGAATTGATAGGTTTATTAAAAAGTGTTGCCGTTTTTGTTGTGAACATAACTGGTTAAGCATATTTTGCCAATTTATTGCATACAATAGTTGCTATTCAAAAAACTAATCTCTAAGGTCATGTTGATAAATAGAAAAATTCGACATTTTGAGTTTCTTGTCATTACTTTTAGAATTGTTCAGAATTTTTCTAAAGTTGAGGTTATAACAATTTTATAAATTGATAAAAGTTGATAAATACAGCTTATTTTAGAACATAACTCATTTTTTCTGAAAATAGTTTCTAGAACTGATTTCTGAAAATAATTCTAAAAACAATCAGATAAAAGTTAGAAAAAAGTTATAAAGGCCTAAAGTTGTCTATCATCATATATCATTAATAGTGTTAATAAAGCTGTAATTTCTAAAAATAACAATATATAAATATTAGGAAAATTAGAGATGTGCTGCTGGCCATGAATGAATTATATGAGTTGGCTTATACCATTCTGTAGACCTGTTCTTTGCAATATTTTCATATGATGAGCTGCCAATATAAAATATAATTAGTTGAATGCCAAATAATCTTCTAGTAATTATTTCTTTTTTCCAACAAAAAATATTTTAATTTTTTTTTTTTTTTTGATTTAGAAACTTGAACTACAAATTGATCATTCTGTGAACGCAAAGTGTGAGGTATGTTTATTTTTTTATGGATATTTTTATACTTATTTTATTGATTTACTTTATTGACTTATTTGCATTTGGTTTATACTCAATAAAAGTCTGTTTTATTTAAAAATTCACAATGCTTTACATTATGGCCAAACATACAGTAGAGAAGTAAATACTCAAGATCAGATTTCCAATATTTATCAAAATAGGCCACAATTTGAACAGGATTTTATAATCTTGACTTCTAAATGAATTCAAGATATTTTAGCTGGTTAAGATGGGCTTTTATTAAGACATGAATAAAACAATGTTTTATATATTAAATTTCTTTACTGGCAGCACTTCTGGTAAGCACTGTTGTATCATTATATTATATACTTGCCTTTAAAAACTGATAAGCAAATAGTTTGATCATGTGGTTTGCTTTTTTATATAACTGTACTGTTTAAATTGCTTTATACAATCAATGTTTTTAACTTTTGCAATGCTTTTGTAAGTGCTGTATATAAGTGCTGTGTTGTAAGTGCTGTGTATAAGAGCTGTGTTGTAAGTTCTGTGTATAAGTGCTGTGTTGTAAGTGCAGAGTATAAGTGCTGTGTTGCAAGTGCTCTGTTGTAAGTGCAGAGTATAAGTGCTGTGTTGTAAGTGCTGTGTATAAAGGCTAACAAAATGCAATGCTACAAAATATGATTTTTATTTTAATCTTGATTTATATAAACTAAATAAGTATTGAAAAAAATTGATTAATATTGTAGAGATTGATTATTATTGATTATTAACTCTCTTCTTTTTTTTTTTTTTATATGTTTTATTATTATTATTGTTATTATTATTTTTGTATTCTTATTTTATGTTTTTTATTTATTATTATTTTGTTTATTTTAGGTTTTTATACTTATTCTATTATTTATATTCTTATTATTTTTCTTATTTTATTACGTTTGTCTTTTAATGCTAAACTTAGGCTTTGTATCAGTATTTATTTTTTTCTAGAGAAATTTACTTTTCAAAGATTCTTTAACTGTAAGTTTTTTAAGTTTTGTGTAATAATTGTTGAAACTGTAATAACCAATTTTCTCATATGAAAAACTCTTGTACCATGAAAACTTCTGCTAATACTGCAACGTTCTTTTGCAACTAAAACTGCTATTAACACCATGAAAAACTTCTAGTTCTGCTAAATTTACTTCTATTAACACCATGAAAGACTTCTAGTTCTACTCAATTTACTTTTATTATCACAGTGACTACTTTTTCTAAAGCTAATTTTTTTTTTATGATATATAATTTTTATTCTAGCAAATGATTGAAACCATTGGTCAAGCAATTGAACTTTTACGTGCAGCTAAGGTATTTAAAAAAATTAACTGTTGTTTTATTTTGATATTTTCATTTATGGAAACTTATTTTGTTCTTGTTAACTTATTAAAAATTTGTAAAAAAAAATTTAAAGTAAAAACAGTTTTTTTTTAAGTATATCAAATAATTAAACTCTTGCTGAAGAGTTAAATTATAATCTAGACTTTTCTTTTTTCTAGAATTTTCTATAATAAATGATAATGTAATCTAGTTTAAACTCTTATAATTAAATAATTGAATTTTGATAGATAGTGAAACCATATTTGATTGGTTGAATTTTCTGAAATAAATATTTTAAAAGAAAAAAATAATTTAACACTGAAAATAAGTTTAATTTTTTAATTATTGAATAGCTGCTCATATTTAATTATTAAGTATATATATATATATATATATATATATATATATATATATATATATATATATATATATATATATATATATATATATATATATATATATATATATATATACACACATATATATATAAAGATTTTAAATCTTTTACGCTGGTCACTAAAAACAAAAGACTCTACCAAACGTCATGAACAGAATAGACTTAAGCATTACACCTATATACCCATATGCACATACAATCTGTTACATTATTTTGCGTGTTATTTGTTCTTTTATAGATAAACTATCTTTGTTTGAAGTCATCCTTATTTAGATAATATTTTCTTTTAATAGTCTGTGGCTAAAATGTGTATATAGATATGTTGTAAATATGTGGTAACCATGTGTGTTAGAGTTTTAATTTTAAGGTTAGTTTTGATATGGTCGAAAAGGCTGCTTCAATTGTGGAGGCTATTTTTTTTTAATTGTGGTTACAACCCTCTCTTAACTCTATAACTCCGAAACATGAACCTTTATGAACAAAGTTGCTGCAAGGAGAAACAAGTTGAGCTCAATAAGAAGGACTTGGTGGGGAGCGAACTTGAAACTTCTTGCTTATAATGCAAGCGGTCTACCACTACACCACTACCACACATTAGTATATGTATACATATGTGTGGTAGTGGTGTATATATATATATATATATATATATATATATATATATATATATATATATATATATATATATATATATATATATATATATATATATATATATATATATATATATATATATATATATATATATATGTATATATAAAAATTTATTTTTTCTAGATATCTTTGGTTCGTAAAGTCCCAATACCTGTAATTGTTGGTTCTGTTGTAAATGATTCTGATATAAAAAGTAAATTAAAGAAAACAAATTCTCTTATTGAAACCACTTCTGAATTGTCATCTATTTCACAACAATTCGAAAAGGATATTGAAGTGGGTTGTGAGTTAACGGAGATTGGGAATGAGTATATAAACATCCCTTCAGCAGAGTTTTTGACTCCAACAATCCCTATTGATACATACACACTAAGTAGTGATGAAGAAGGATGTGATGAGTTTTTTGATGCTGCAGATGAATTTAGCAACATAAGTACATTTGAAAATAATCTTTTAAATAATGTTAGTGATTTGGTGAAAAGCTCTGCAGCTAAGCAACTTGTTTCTTCTGCAATTGAAAACAATAGGTATTTCTTCATGTGTTTTTACAAATATTACTTTCCACATTTTTGTTACATAATTTATTTTTTTGTTATTGCTCTTAGATTAGGCTTTATTTCTTTATAAATTTTAATGTTCTTTTATGAGTGAACCTTTTTTGAGATAAAATTTAACTAATAAATAATTATTCAAAATATTGCCAATATTTATGTATTTATATTTAAATATTAAATTAAAGCATGGATTATTTTGATTGATTTGTAAAAAAAAATGAAAAAAATTTAAAAAGTTGCTTTCATCATATTCTTACTAATTTTTTATTATATTATTTTCAGGGTTAAAGAAAAAAAAACAATGGATGAAGAGGATTATTTTTGTCAAGGTCAATTTTGATTTATTGTTAAAGTTACAGAGAAAATTAATGATAGGTAAAAACATGTTGGAACAGTAGGGTGACTTTTGGATTTTAAAATACCACTATGTTTAAAATATTACAAAGTTCACAAAAAAAATTTCACCTTAAAAGTCTAAGAGAAAGAGGTTTATGTAGAAAAGAAAGAGCTTTATGTAGAATTTTGGTTTTATGCAAAATAACACATTTTTAACAATTACAAAGACAATGGTATATAAAATAAAAAGTTTTTAAAGATAGCTTAATTTTTTCTATAAAATATTTGTAGGTATTAATTTGTGATATTAACAAAAAGTAAAAACAAAAAAGTGTTAAATATCATAAAAGTCAATTTTTATATTAAGTACTGTGGTCAAAAACAACCTCAGACCTTTTTGATATCATATTGAGATTTAAAACAACTTTTTAATTTTCAAAAAAAAGTTTTTTTTAATTGTCACCCTAAGGAACAAGGTTGCAATTTCACTAAATGTAAATTCAAGTCATACAATGAAATTAATGATGTAATGTGATGTAATGCATAATGATGTAATGAGATGATGATTATGATAATAATGATGATGATGATGATCATGAGTTTAAACTTTTTTCTTTATTTAATATTTTTAAAGATGATGAATTTGAAGAAGATAAAGACTCTGATGTAGATGAAAAAGGTTAATAGTTTTAATTTTTTATATATTTGAAATGTTTTTTGTAGATTATAACAATTATTTTTTGAGTTCCACCAAATAAATAATTTTAACAAGGCACACTTATTTTACACCTATATACATACTAGGTGTTTCATTACAAGGTTATGTCTGAAAAAAAGAAAAGCCCTAGCTTATCTCCTCAGATATGGTTTCGTTCTTTATAAAAAATTTGTTTAAAATTTTTGAAAATCCTTAGGGTTCATTCTGGAAGTAAAAAGGTTACCTATTAGAGTGTTTTATACCATAATTCTACGTGAAAACATCAAATTTTTTTATAAAATGCTGAGTCTCAGATTTCTACACCACTCAAAGATTTTATTAAGTTATGAACATCCTCAAAATTTGATCATCTAAGATCAAACAGTTTCAAAGATATAACTATATTAACCTTGTCTTGAACCAACAAAAATTCACTGTTTTAAAAAATGATTTTGGTCTCTATTTCTGTTTCGTTGTTTATAACTAGTAAAATTTAATAAACGAGGGGAAGGGGTCTTAATAAGCTCAGTGTGGGAGGGAAAGCTTAACAAACATCAACTTCTGCGAATTAAGCACCTAAAAGTAACACTTTCTTTCTTTCTTTTTTTTGATTATTTGAATATTTTTTTCAAGACAACTTGACCACAACTTTTTGCATGATTATTAAGTCTTTCAAAAATTTGCAAAACAAAATTAAGCTAGACTTGACATTAAAAAATTAAAAAACAAATAACTAATAAGAATAAAATATTAAATATTATAATATTTTAATGCAATAATATATTAAAATAAGAAAAATATAAATAAAAAACTAATAAACCAGAATTCTAAAATAAAAAAAATAAAACTTAAAGGGATCCTAAAGTGCAGAGACAAGTTGTGTTCATATTAAAGATAATGTTTTTGAAAAAATGTTTGAATTTTTTTAACTAAAACAAAATAATAAGCGTATACAAAAAAAAAAAAAAACTTTGTAGTTTTACTCAAAGCTGTCTTCATGTTAGTGTGTGTTTTAAGTCTAAAATATACTCCACAATCTGCTGAATTTTTTTTTTTTTTAAACATCTTCGCTTCCAACAAGGCTGCAAGCAACCACTAAATAGTGTTGGAAGTTACTGGAAAAGAAAAGATGAAGATAACAGCAAGATAACAATTGACAGACGACTTGAACGATTGCAAATTATATGAATCAGGAAAGCAAGATGAAGGAAGCGAATTCCAAAGAACTGATGTTCGAGGAAAAAAACTAGATGGTTAAGAGTTTTTGGAGCACTTAGGAACAGCAACAGAGACTTAATTTAATGACGAGTAACACGAGAATGAATTTTAGTAGATTGCACAAGAGGCGCTAGCTCTTTAGAGCAGTGCCCATTATAGTATTTGTAGAAAAGAGAAAGAGAAGCAACATTATGACGATGTGACAGAGATTGAAGGTTGGCTGCAAGAGCAGGTCCAACTATGTTTACAATGCGTTTTTGCACCTTGTCTAAAAGAACAAGGGCATCATTAGAAGATCCGCCCCAGATATGGCAACAGTATTCCATACAATGCCGGATTTGAGATTTATAGAGATAGAGAATAGAATCCAGAGTAAGAAAGTGTCGAGTTCGATAAAGAGAAGCAACTTTAGCAGATGCTAATTTTGATTTAATATAAGGTTTCCAAGAAAGACCAGAAGTAAGAGTTAATCCTAGAAGATGAAGGGTAGGAGACTAATCGAGTACATTACCGTTCATAAATATAGGAAGATCTAAATTATTGCGATAACGATTGGCCGAAAAAAATTGAGTTTTATCTGAATTAAAGTTCACCAGCCACTGTGAGCCCCATGCTGTAGCAGAAGTGAGATCTTTTTCAAGCTCAGATGCCCCCTGCAAGCAATCAGAGGGAGTTGGCTTCTTATTGTGACAAGAATAAATGGTAGTATCATCAGCGAACAATGCCACCTTAGATGTGAGAATATCTAGAAGATCGTTAATGTAAATTAAAAAGAGTATAGGGCCAAGGATTGAACCTTAAGGAACCTCTGAGGTTACAGAATAAGAAGAAGAGTGCTGTCCATCAAAGACAACTTTTTTACTACGATTGGAAAGGAAGGATTCAATCTTAAAGATGTTTCCAGATACACCGTAAGAAGAAAGCTTATGGAGAACACAAGCATGCCAAACTTTATCAAACACATTAGAAATGTCAAGAACAATGGCCTTAACCTCTTCACCTTTATCTAATGCACGATAAAACCTATCGATTATCACTGATAGCAAATCAGCCGTAGAACAAGAAGATCGAAATCCATATTGATGATCAGAAAGTAGGTTATGAGATTTGAGATGAGAGAATAAGTGTTTGTTAATCAAAGATTCAAAAACCTTGCTTATGATAGGAAGAAGACTAATGGGACGGTAGTTAGACGAATCGGATCGCTCTCCAGAATTTTTAAAAATAGGGATAACAGATGCTGCTTTCCAGCAGGCTGGAAAACAAGACTCTGATAAGCACTTATTGAATAGTTAGCACTTATTGAAAGCACTTATTGAAAGGATAGAAGACAGCTCCAGAGAACACTTCTGCAAGACTAAAACGGGTATGTTGTCCAGGCCGCAAGCTGTAGAAGAGTCTAAGCAGGAAATCACTTTAGATACAGAAGCTGGAGTGATATGGATGTCAAGCAATGGATCAACCTGTTTGACGGCTATATCAGGTAGAATGCAACTAGTGGAATCAAGAGATGATATTGACAAAAAGTTCTTAGCAAACAATTCAGCTTTGTCTTTAGGTGAGGTGACAAAGTCTGAACCATACAAAAGAGGTGGAATTACAGACTTGCCCTTATTATTGATACTATTAAAGATTCTCCAGAAGTCACGAGAGCCTAATTTTTGTGATGAAATACGAGATTTTATGACTTGAGAATAGCGGGCTTTGGCGTAAGACAAAACCTTTTTACAATGGTTCCTAGCAGTAATAAACAGACGTCTGTTTTCTGGAGAATTGTTTTGCTGATAGATATGGAAGTAATGGTTTCGATTGGCAAAAGATTTCTAAAAAGGTTTCCAGGGGCCATCACGAAGAAAATCACGGAAAGAGTCCCAGTCAGCTTTAAGGTAGTTGTAAGATGTACAATGATAGGGGGATTCTGATGGTAAAGAAGAATGAGATAATAGTTTTAGAGAGACCAAACTATGATCAGAAGCACCTAAGGGTGAGTGTGGAGAAACTGACCACTGACTAGGATCAGAAACAAGACATATGTCGATTAGAGAAGGTAAATGATTCGGGTTGTCTGGAAAGCGAGTTGGAAAGTTTACTATTTGAGTTAGGGATTGATAAAGGCAAAAGTTTTGGGCCTTAATGCCTGCAGAGTCACTGACACTAGTGCCAAGCCATTCAGTGTGATGAACATTGAAATCACCAACAACAACAATATTGGCTGATTGATAAAGAATGAAGACTTGGTCAATATAATCAGAAATAACATCAAGAAGAGTGCAGTCTTGAGATAAAGGTGAAAGAGTGAAGTGGTGCTAAACGAAAGCACATAAAAGAGTAGTCGGTGGATTCAAACCTAGTTTCCTGACAAATGGGTGAATTTTTACGAATGTAAATGCCAAGGCCAAGCATGTGACTATTGGAGTCTTTACAAATTAAAGGAAGATAACCATCAACACTAAGATCACAAGATGAGACAAAAGAATTCAAATTAGTCTCACAAAGAGCAAGTTGGTCTGGTGAACTTTGCAAGAGATAAGACTCAACAGAAGAAAAGTTACTTCGAAGACCACAAATATTGGTGAATGATAGGTTTAGCGAACTTGGTGATGACTGTGGTTTTTTGTGTTTTATAGTTTTTGTTACTTTATTCATTTTTAAATTTGTTAAAGAACTTGACTCGAAACATAGATAGTACTCAGTACACTGTTTTATATCCCCCGCAATTGCCTCATTTCCACTAATAAACCCTAAGCCGTAACAAAGGACTCCAATGTGGCCTTGGCAATGCACACTAAAAGTACAAACAGGGACACCATCCATGCGCAACATGGCACTGTTAGTACTCTGATATTTTTCAGCTGTTGATGGAATCAGTCTCTCTGAGAGCTACCATAGAGTTCGGGAAACCTGACTACCAGCCGGCCTCAGAACCATAAAACTGAGTTTTAGAGCTGTACCCTCATTTGGAAATAATAGAATGAGTTGCCTAGTCATAAAAACAGAGACACAAGCAAAACCCATGCATTGAGTCAAGAAGATCCAGCGTTCAACATCCTAAACTGGAAACAATGTATTAAAAATACATCTGCGCCAGCCTAATAGATGATGAAGGGGTGCGAGGCTGGTCAACAGATATAATCTGTTTACTCCTTAAATTTTTAATTAATAATTTATTCAAGTGTGTTTAATTCCTAAGAGTTTTACTATAAGACATCATTGTAGAATTTCGATAAGAATTCTAAAAAAATTTTAGATATAGGATTTTTTTTTATTATTATAAACTGAAGAATTTGTTTAGTTACTTATTATATAAAAGTTTTTTCATCATAAATGACTATAGAATTTCTTTAAGTTATTATATTTTCTAAATTTCTTAAAGTTTGCATTAAAAATATGAATAAAATATTTCAGATATTTTAAGGTTGTCTAATGCTATAAATTAGTTTTGTGTTAAATTTATTGTTATTAAATGAATATTATTCTTATTAAGATTCCGTCAAAAAAATTATTTTGCATTATTTAACATTATTTAACATAATTTGTTTAATTATTTAACCTTAAGAAAGTATAATTAACAGCATTTGTTTGCTAAACTTTTCATCAGGTACAAATAATTGAAACTCTCATTTAATCATGTGAGAATATATTTAATGAAATTTATTCTGTAAAACATTTTATTTTGTTTTTCAAATTAAATAATTATTGCCAAAGGTTGCAAAAAAGTGTAGCATTATTGAGTCAAAGGTTGCAAAAAAGTGTTATTCATTGTTAAAATTTTAAAATTGAAGTTGTTTATTGGAAAACTTTTTATTGTCAATTTTGGTAGTTTTTTGGTTTGTAATTTTAAGAGACAGCTTTTAATGTAAAATACTTGCCTAATAAATTGGGAAATATTAACTATAATATGTCTTTTAATGTGCACTGCAACACATTGACAATTTTAATCTCCATCTGTCTTAAATTATTGCCATAAAGCATTAATTATTCATGGAATTTACACTTAACAAATTTACAAACAGCTTTAATTAATAAAAAGCTGTCTGTAAATTTGTTAAGGCTAAATTCTATAAATATATTCTAACTGAAATATAAACCTAGATAAACTAGAAAAAAAGATAAACTAGAAAAAAAAAAACAACCTAGATAAACTAGAAGAAAAGTTCACATTGTTTACATAAAAAGAAAAAAGATTTGGTATATAAAAGGTATTGTCTTTTTTATATATTTATTATATTTAAGAGTGTATTATAAAAGTCATACAATTATTTGGTTTTCGCGCTCTATAGAAAACCATTCTTTTGTTTTCTTATAAAATTTATAGAAAAGTCATACAATTAACGATAAACGCTTATTTTAAAAAACAAATAAAACATTTGTTTTTTAAATAAAACAAATAATATTGATTCAAAAAAAAAAAAAATGGCTTTTTCAAAAAAATATCCTACAATGATGTCATTTTTAATAGTAAAACTTTAGGAACTTTTGTTTAAAAAAAAAAATTCTTGGAATTAAACACGCTTGAATAAATTATAAATTCTATAGATGGTGGCTTATATTTTAAACTTAAAAACACACACTAACATTGAGACAGTGAGCTTTGAGTAAAAATACAAAGTTAGTTTTTTCTTTGTTTACGTTTATTATTTTGTTTTAGTCATAAAAATTTAGCCCCAAATTTTTTTTAACATCTTTAATATGAACACAACTTGTTCATATTAAAGATAATGTTTAAAAATTTTTTTTTTTACTTTTGACCAATGTTTATTATTTTATCATGTTTATTTTATCAAATCTTTATTTAAATTATCAAAGATTTTTACATAAATATAAATTGTTTTGTATTTAAAAAGTATTTTTTATGATAAATAACTTGATATTTTAAATAACTTTTAATTAAATATTTTATATATTATGCAAAACATGTGGATTTAAAAACATTGTGAATTAAAAAAAAAAGTGGAGAAAAATGGATAATAAAAATGGAGAGAAATTATTAAAAAATGAGTAGTTAATTGTTTAAAACTTAAAATAAAAATAAGTTTTTTTCTTGAAGTTAAAAATAATTAAATAATTGTAATAAGACAAATAGTAAAAGATATATTTTTTAAAATTGAACTTTAAAATTTATTTTCAATTTTATTATAGATGAAGATATGCAATCTCATGGTTCGGTTATCACTCATTTATTATCTCAAGTTAAAATTGGAATGGACCTGACTAAGGTTATATTTTATTTTTTAAAAGTTTTTTAAGATTTTATATCTACTAGCTGACAGGACCCATAATACAGGTCATGGTAGATCTATGGTTTATACCTATCATTTTTTTCACCTATCATTATATATATATATATATATATATATATATATATATATATATATATATATATATATATATATATATATATATATATATATATATATATGTATATATATATATATATATATATATAAATATAAATATATATATATATATATATATATATATATATATATATATATATATATATATATATATATATATATATATATATATATATATATAGTATATATATATATATATTCATGCATGGTTGTCTTTATGTTTTTACCATAAAATGTCAGTTTAATGTTTTTTTTTTATTTTAAAGACAAGAAAAAATTTTTTTATTATTATTATTCAATAGACTGTCTGCCCGAACCAAACTCTCAGTTAATGTAGCAGCACTCCATTGCAAGTCAGGCTATTTGTCAGTTGATGTAACAACACTCTGTTGCAAGTCAGGCTATAAGATAGTCAATGTAGCAACACTGCGCCCATATTTCCAATTAAAAATAAAAATAAAAAACATTCAGAGTATTTTTATTTGAAAATAAGTAAAAATAAAAACATGAAGAATGTTTTTAAAAACAATCTAGTCTTTTAATTTTTTTTTTTTTTTTTTTTTTTTTTTTTTTTGTGGTTTTCTTTTATTGCATTAATTAAATTAATCCATTTTAACCTTACTTTTGTCAGCTTTAATACCACAAACAAGCTAAGAGCCATTTTGTATATATATATATATATATATATATATATATATATATATATATATATATATATATATATATATATATATATATATATATATATATATATATATATGTGTATATATATATACACATTAATATACATAAAAAACTTGTTTAAAAAAAAAAAAAAATTACAAATAAACATCAATTAGTCTGAAAACTGTTGTATATGAGAAAATATTTTTATTTTCATTATATACTTATCTACTTTTTTCCTCGACTTGTATCAATTTAATTAGTGGAAAATAGCAAACACCCTAAAAATAAGAAAACAAAAAGAGTAAAATATTTAGGTATTCGGTTTTTTTCAAGGTGTGTCCCAGATAAGCTGGATATCTGGCCGGATATCCGGGACGGATATCAGTATTATTCGATATCCGTTATCTGGCCGAATAATAACATTATCCGGTTTTGGATAAACCGGATATTTCAAGTTGATGTTATATAGAAATTTAAAGACTTAATAAACCAAGAAATGCTATATTTTTAAATAATCCAATGTTAATGGTTTCTATTCAATATTTTTATTATTATTAATAATAATTTATTATTCATATACTATTAAAATTAAACGCAACAAATACATCAGTTTATCACTCATTTATAAAATTATTTCCATTATGATGAATAAATAGTAACATTTCTCCACTTTGAGGTAACAGCCTTGATCGCTTTTTCTTGTAAATATTTCCATATTTGGAAAACAATCGCTCCAAAAATACAGAGGATGCTCAAGGTGCTAATAATTTAAGAAACGGAAACTTCT